CTTCTAACGCAGTAACAACAGATTACTTAATCTTGGCGATTTTACCATAAGTAGCAGATACTGTCTACTACAAATCCACGCAACCGCGAGCTCAAAACATGCTTTCGTTATTTTGTAATAGATGGCGAAAAGGGGAAAATGAAGAGTGCTGAAATTTTGAATTACCGGCACCTTAATTATATCAGTTAATATCAGAAATAGCTTTACGATTGATATTCTCTTGATACTACACTGAAGAAAAACAAAATATATGATGTTTTTCAAAATCTCGTGATAATGTTGTAACAGAATGATATCCCTAGTTTTGACGTACGCAAAAAAAAACAAGGTTAATCAAATGCAGTTTTCTTTCGTTCATAGCAATAGTCCACAGAACGAGAAGAAAAAAATACCCCAGTCAACATAACAAGGCAATGACTACGCATAATAGTATAAATAAAAGAGAGGATACCTTGGTTTTTTTATACACACACCGTAAAACAAATATGGGTAAACTCGACGGAAAAATCGCTCTTATTACTGGTGGATCAGATGGTATTGGTCTTGCTTCTGCACAAGAATTTGTTGCTGAAGGTGCTTATGTATTTATCACTGGACGACGTAAAGAAGCTCTTGATGCAGCAGTCAAACAAATTGGTAATAAAAATGTTACTGCAATTCAAGCTGATTCATCTAAATTGGATGATATTGATAATGTCATTAAAGTAATACAAGAGGAAAAAGGAAAATTACATATTTTATTTGCAAATGCTGGTATATTTCGTTTAACACCAATAGGATCAATTACAGCAAAATCTTATGATGAGCTGTTTAATATCAATGTTAAAGGTGTACTTTTTACTGTTCAGAAAGCTTTACCAATATTCGTTGATGGTGGTTCAATCATTATCAATGGATCGAATGCGTCCATTAAAGGTTATCCAGCAGGAAGTGTCTATAATGCCACAAAAGCTGCAATTCGATCATTTGCACGTTGTTGGACTGTTGATTTAAAGGATCGAAAAATTCGTGTTAATACTCTTAGTCCAGGTCCAACTGATACTCCTATGGCAAGAAATTTGATTGGTACTAAAGAAGGTTCGAAAAAAATGCTAAACTTACTTGCAGCAAGTTCTCCTATGGGGCGACTTGCTCATCCATCAGAAATTGCCAAAGTAGCGTTATTTCTCGCTTCAGATGATAGTTCATATATTACTGGTATTGAACTTTTTGCCGATGGTGGTTTATCACAAATATAAACTTATTAATCAATATTAAACTTAAATCACTCAAAAAAATGGACGAACTAATTTATATAGTACTACTCCCCTTTTTTTGTTTGCGATATATATAGTTCTCTTTTTACTAATATAATAAACTTTGAGAGTAACAATTGGCCGACAAAACGGATTACATATATATTTGCGTTAAACTTAGATACTTTGGTTCAGTATTTTTAATTAACGGAACCAAAGTATCTAAGTTTAACTGAAATAATAAACTTTCTTGCTAATGTCTTTTTAATATCAATTTAGTCGAATTCTACCATGAGTTGTCTGATTCGAGTTCGAATATAAATGGACCTCAACTGCTTACTATCACTTCGAAAATAAATGCTTCGACATAACTATATATATATACATAGGTAGGATTATATCTTGTAGATGCAGATTTATTGATTGATTGATTAATTGATGTTTATTTTGGTAACAACAAGACTGACAGTTTGAATATGTGAACACAGATAAACATACATTAAAAACAGAAACCTTTAATTTACATCAAAAACCGGTTACCGGGAAAGCAAAAAAAGTGCGATGCACCTATAAACCTTGCTACCCTTTTCATAGTTGGAGCTGTTGCCTTAATTTTCTTTTAAAACTTCTAATTGTGGTAGATGAGATAACTGCTTCTGATAGAGTTCGATTTCAATCTCGAGCTGTGTGATATAAAAAGGATTGTAAAACAGTCTCCGTCCGAGCAAAAGGAACTTCTACCTGTCTTGAGTTGTGCTAACCTGTTTGATCTTCTTACTGTATCTAACCGGATTAGACTCAATCGAGAAAGTGGGGAGTGCCCATTTAGGATCTTGAAAAATAGTAGAAGGCGAAAATATTTTCTTCGTACCTCTAATAGAGGTAACCTGAGACCGGATACAAG